ATACTATTTATTGATAGTTAAATAAACAAAAACTCTTTCCAACAATCACTTGTACCAAATTCACAACAAACTTTTTTTTAAAAAAATTTAATAATTTCAAGGTAAAATGGACTAGAAGAGATTTAGAAATTATAAGTTGGCATCTATTATTTAGAGATAGTTCTTATATGCTATCTGCTAGTAGGCTTAGAGTTTATTACTTATCACAGAAATAGTATTTGTCATTTAGAAGTAGTTATCATATGCTACTTGCCAACAAGCTCAGAGTTTATTATTTATTGAAAAGAAAGCTCCAATATACTAACTGGTATTACAAGTCTTATTTTATTTTGGACAAAAATTAATATACTCTTTAAAAAATAGTACAAGTAATATAATACTTCTTCTCATTTGGTGCTAGTCTCTCTAAAATTTTCTTAAAAAAGTAGACAAAACAGCTTACCTTTATCCAAAGATTGGCATTGTTTACACTTTTCATTTTTGGGTAAACTCAGTAGATTGCAACTATGTGTCTGGTTTGTTGTTTTTGATATAATGCTACTTCATGTAACAAGGATCAGGTCCTAGGTTAAAGAGATATCCAGAAATAGATATGCTATTGTTGAAAAGAAAGAATTTTTATTAAAGTTAAACTTTATAATAGAGATATACAATTGTTATAGTTGTTATATAATTTTTAAGCCTTGTATAGGTTATAATAGTATATTTGTTTTCTTTTTATTCTTCTTTTTTCCTAAAAGGTTTTTTTTTTATTTATTTTTTTAGTTTAGTTTTAGCTTTAGTCAGCTCAGTAGAAGCCTTTTTCTTTGATTTTCTTTTTTTATATTCTATTATCTCTCCTTTTTTATTCTTTTTATTTTTTCTTCTTCATTTTATATATTTTTTTTAGTATAGTTTTTCTGTTTTTTTTCTATGTTAAAGCTTCTATATATTGTGTATGAGGATTTTACTTTTTTTTGCTCTTGGTGAAAAAAGAAAAATCTGAAGAGATTGGCTCTTGACAGGGCTAACAAAGTCTTCTAGGAAAGTAGTGTGATAGGTCACATTAGTAGTTATTTATATAAAGAACTAAACAATACCAAACTTGCTATATGTGAATATTGAAGTAAATTTTTTTATATGTATTTCTTTTATCTTTTAATAAAGTACTGATGAAACTGTCAAAGAATTAAAAAAAAAAAATATAGTTAAATAAATTGCTAAATATTATCTTGAAATCAAAATAGTATAAGTTTTTTAGTTTTTTTTTTTTAAATTCTCCATCTACATCTGGAATGCAGGTGGCATACTTTATTATTTCAATGTCTTATATATTATATTACAAGAAATTATTAGTTACACATTTAATTGTTATGTATATTACTTGTAGAGCAATCTCATTAGGTGTTCTTTAGCCCTTCTATGCCACATATTGATAAGTTTATTACTTTTGTGATATCCTGGATCTCTAATCCTGTGGTGTAGAACTCTACCTTGAGTGGTCTAGAGATAGTAAAGTTTGGTTTGGTTTGATCAAACCTTGATATATGTAGTTAAAACCAAACTAAACCAAACTATAAAGTTTAAATTAACAGTTTAAAACTTTAATTTAAACCTGGTTTGGTTTATATAAACTTGGTTTAGTTTATATAAACTAAATAAATATTTTATTTTTTATGCACCTCTTATATAATTATGTATAATTATATATAATTATGCATATTCATGCATATTTGTACATATTTATATATATTCATGCATATTTATATAAGTTTATACAAAAAGTATATACAAATATATAAGGAGTATATAAAAAATAATTTATATATAAACTGCATTAAAATTAGTTTAAATAGTTTAAAAAAACTAAACCTGGTTTGTATTATAAACTATCTCTTAAACCAAGTTTAACCTAGTTTTTTAACAAACTTTACCATCTCTAAAGTGGTCTGCAGTTCCTTATCACTACAGCCCAAATTTTTTGTATTTTTCTATATTTGGCATTGTATCTCTTTTTTCTAATTTTGTATTTAGACTCTGTATATCTTTCATTCATCACTCGCCTACTAACATACTCATTAGGCTCTGTGTTTCTAGTTTTGGCCCTTTTGAACTTTACTTCTATATACCTTCTGTATTTATCAGTACTTCCTTATGTGAATGTTCTACTTGAGATTACTATGAATTTGCTCAGAAGGCAAGTACTCTCTAAAGAGAACCCAGGTTTTTTTCTTTATTAGATTCATAATACAAGCCTTTTGTTTTTATTTAAACCCCTTTAATAGAAACATCATGGTCCTAACTCAGAGGTTCCTCATATTAACAACTTTCTTTTATCAGATTTCTTTCCTTTTTCTAAATATCTCATAACTCTGTAGCTATGTTCTGCAACTTATTACCAAACATAGTTCTAGCAGAGAAAGATTTCCTCTGTGGGTTTCAAACTCACAACCTTGTGCTTAAGACCTGGGAGCACTAACCACTATGCTACAAACCCATAGGTCTAGTTTTTTTAGTTTATTTATTAAAATATATAATTTTTTTTAGATCAATTTAAACTTATTAATATTCAAAATATTTAAATTGATTGCTTAGATATAAAAGCCTTAAAAAATAGAGTAACTAATTAATAAATTAGAAAAAAAAGTCTTAATAATAATTATTCAATAAATACTTATCAATTATATCAAAAAATTTACTTGTAATTCAATATTATCTTAATTTTAACAAAATCAAAAATTAGGTATTAAGTCTTTTGTTTTTATAATTCATTAAATTTTTTAAATTATAAAAGCAAATATATATTATTTATTAATATCTTTTTGTATTTTATATTTGTATAATCTTTTCTTTAAAAAATTTATATATAAAAGCAAGAGTTATAAAACTTGTACTAGATATATAACTAAAGTTAAAGGCAAACCTGTTGAAAAAAACAAATTAAATAATAAAAAAACTATCATTGAAATAATTTTTGTTCAAAATATTAGTGACTATATTGCTAATACAATTAATAATTTAGAAAATTATTCAAAGCTTTTTCTTGCCTTTAGTATTTATTTTAATAAAGTTATATTTAATACTGTAAATACAAACATTAAGGCAATGGCTACATTAATAATTAATGAAATTAAGAGTAAAGATGGATATAATTGAATAGCTATAACTGTGCCAAATCTTTTAGCTTGTTATTATGATGTAGAAAATGCATATTATACATGTTCTCAGAGTTAAAAACTTAAATATAAATATAAAGATTCTAATAAAAAAAGAATTACCTAATTTAATTGTTGTAGCAAGATATCTATTAAGATTAATATCCCATTAGCAAAAGCTAAAGTGTTTTTAAAACATAAAGTATTATATAAGAAGCCTATTGATATTGCAATACCACCTGAAATAAAACAAAAAATTGAAAAAAATTTAAATTTAAGCCCTACAGACTTACATACCTATCTTTGCAGTAAAAATTTTGATTTGTCAAAGATTATATAAAAACAAATTCACTACTGGTGGTCATATTATACACAGAAGTTCTATAAAAATAATGAAAACTATATTATTTCTACATGTAAATTTTTTAAACAACAGCAAGAAAATAACTATAAATTATGTTTTCATTTTGACATAGATAGCATGACTGCTATTGGTTTTATCACATCTCTACTTTTAACATTACATTATACAGAGATACATTGTAATACTACGTATAGAACTGCCAAAGGCAGATTCAAACTTTATGGAATTGTTGGCAATGTAGAAGGCACAGGTTAGCAATTTATTTTATATATAAAGATGCCTAAATATATACAAAAATTATATATTAAATATTCAACATTAAATTATAGTATAATAGATAATAAATTTAAATATTAATATTTCTTTTTATATAAATACCTTGTGATGTTTCTATTAACGAATTATTATTTTAGGATTTTCAGTAGTGTATTTAATTTTGGATACAACTAAATCGAATAATCTAAATCAAGAAGGATTACGTACTGAAGCTTTTATAGGTTTCTTTTATGCTCTTCATGATAGAGATCTAAATCCAGTATATTTTTATATGGATTAAGATTTTGTAGAAATTAATGCTGCAAAAGAAGTGTAGTCCTCGTGTGACATACAGCTTTGCCTAACATATCGAAAAAGCAATTAAAGAAAAAACGTGATGTGAAATAATTTCTTAACCAATCCCTTTCATGACAATCTTGTTATGTTAATGGAATTCGTTCCGATATTTAATCTCCATTTCCTTAATTGCAAGATCTTTATAGTGCTAAATCAAAGATGTTCGTGTTTTTTATTAATTTTAATGTAGCGTGAAAAATGTCCTTTTTTATTGGGATCTGGTAACTGATGTTTTCGTTACACTAAAATACAAATACGCATGCTGATGATTTTTACGATGATAAATTGTTGACACCATCCCTGATAAAATCAACAACACGAACCTAGTATCCTCTAGTAAATGTTATGTCACTGAGTTTAAAAGCCTCTTACGCGCCATAATCTTCGATCGGCAAACCTCATGCGCCATCCATATGATTTTCGGAAATGTCACTTTTAGCCCTATAAGTAATTCTTCTCTCTAACTTCCAACCCAATCTATTTAAAAATGTGATGTTGAGACTGCTAGTGTGATATAACATTTACCACAGTAATTTCTTTTTTTATTTGATACTAGACTCTTAATCTAGCACAAATCTCTTGATGTGATTATCTTAAACGAATGCTTATTAATTTACAATAAAAATATTACATAAACAAGTTTTATAATAGAATTTATTTATTTTGACTATCCCATGAACGAAAGAAAAAATACTAATGATATCATGATATTTGTAATTGTTCTCTAAAAATATTACAGGATTTTTGAACATGGATCTGATCAAAAAAATTTAATTCTAATTATATCCTATACGAGGATTTAAAGTTGTGCAAGCCGAGCGTCGATAAAACAAAAAGAGCAAAGTAATTGCAATACTATGAAAGAAAAAATATATTAATATGATATGTGTTTATTGCAGTAATATTCTCTCGCTGGAACCAAATTTTAACTCAAATTCTTTCAGAGTCAATCTATCAACCTAAATTTTTAAAAAAAGTGTTTAAAAATGACAAATTCAACTATTGACGCGTTCAAAAAACGATAATAATAATAAAAAATACCCCTGGAACAGAAATAATATCATTATATTTTTCTTCAGGTTCACATATTATAATAAAGTGTCGTTTTTTTTTCCAATGCTTATTATGCAATTTTATCATATGAAAACTTAGGGATTTTATAATTGACATAGAGTTTAGTTTCTATAACAAAATGATAGAGGTATACTGTATAAATAATTATTAAATAAAAAAAAAAATAATGATAATGAATAATTCATTCAACCCACCTTTTTTGGGTAAAAAAGTTCGTCTGTTTCAAAATATCTACTTGATCCTTCTTTGAGGCTTAATTGGATCATGCGTGATGAAATTAATGACCTAATATTATCAACAAAAACTTTTAGGTAAGCCATAAGTTTTAAATAATGATAAATATAACTTGGAACTTACTGTCTACAACGAAATTTTTCAAAATTTTTTGCCAAATTATCTTCAACATTTTTACATATGACCACTTTCCATGTTGAAGAAACATTGAGTGCTGACTGCTAATAAATAAATAAAAAAAGATGAGATTACAAAAAATTAAGAAAAATTGGAATTGATTAAATTATAACTTACATATTGAAACACTTTATGCAGTCTATCGAAAATATGGTCTTGTTTATTAAATGTTTGAGCTGTTAACGTTATGAACCCACCTAGATTATTGGTGAAAAAGTTAAAAATGCAAAACTACATATAGAATATAACCATGTATGAAGTAAGAAAAAAAAACCTATTTTTACCATGCAGGAACCACTCTTCTAAATTTACGGACGAATCAGGAGGCCAACAACCATCCCCATAACCTATAAATTTACAATTTGGTAAATCTTTAAGATTCATCAAATGAGGTATATAATTGGGTTGTAATCCCCTATGAATCTGTGTAGCAAAAAGAAAAAATAGATAATAAATTAAAAAAAGTAAAACTAGAAAAAAAAAGAGCTTGAATTTAAAACAATAAATACAAAAACGTATTCAATATTATCGTTGAATTCATTTAAATGAATCCCTCCTAAACACTTTATAGCATTTAGAAATTCCCATCTTTCTAGACTATTTATTTTCGAAAATTCCATAAATTTTGGTTTATTCTTGAACCATTCTATCAATTGATGATAATGCATTAAATTTAGAAAATTTTCAGCTTCCATAATTCCATCAATCATAAGTTGTTGATCTGTGAAAATATGGTTATATTCTAGAGATATAAGATTTTTTTGTTGTAACATCGATTGAAATGATGGTAAAGTTTTAAAGATGGCAAAAAATGTAGCAGTTGGTCGAGTCAAACATCCAAAATTTAGGTAAATAGTATCAGAATTTGGGAATATTATATAAAAAGAGGACATTGATTCATCAATCCAAACTATTCCGGCCTATTTATTAAATAAAATTTTATTTGACATAAACATTATGTAAACTTTAGGATTAAATTAGGGTTTAAGATTAGATTTGAAATAGCAAGAGTATAAGTAGATTTATAAAAAAAGATACTTTTTCACTCCATTCCATCAAAGCACATTCAATATAAAGCTTAGATATATCATCATCGTAAGCAGCCTCGATAGTAAAAAGGGACATATTCTTGTCTGCAGGTTGAATAAATTCTTTAGCATATGATATTGGTATAGAATCTCGTATCCAAAGAGTTTTCCCGATAATTTTAAATCTTTGAAAAACAATTAGAGTTTTATATTATAACTACATAAATATGTTAATATCTTTTAACATGCTACAGTATATTTACAGTGAATACAAATCATGACAGTGTCCAGGATAAGGCTTCAAGAGAACGGTTGCGAGAAATGATTTATTTTGGCCTTTTTCCAGACTTCCTGTCCACTCACTAAATAAAAAAAAAAGAAAAAGGGAAATGTTTAGATATAAAATAAATAATAAGTATATTAATTTATTAATTACTTTTTCATATTTAAAATGCCTGCAGATTTTGATTTACAAAATATTTGGGCAGGTCGAATCGTTTGATCGCAGGTGTTTCTATATAAAAATATATAAGTAAATCAATAAAATATTAATATCAAATATAACTCTTGAATTATTATTACAAAGAGATCAAATCTTAATATCAAACATACTCTTGGATTTGAGTTAATGGATTATTATGCATAGATGGCCTATTAGGCTCTTTCAAGTAAATCTAACAGTAAATATTTAAACAGTTGTTAATTGAAATACTAATCTACATTAGAAAAATAAAAAAATACATTAACTATTACATTATCATAATCATTTTCATTTTTATTAGGAATAAAATTCGTTGAATGATAATTTTCATTCACGATATGACATGAATAATTTGACCTTCTAACTTTACGTCGATTACTTTGAGTTGAAGAACGCAAGAATTTTGATGAACCAAAAGGGCCAACCATCGGATTTGCCCCAGCTTCTTCCCGGATCCAAAAATCCCTGATCATTTCATTGCACCCCTCTAAATTTCTATATTGCTGCCACTCCGGCTGTCTTCTGTGATCTACATCGAATTATATCAAACAATAGAAAATGATATTCAAATGTATATAAGGTATTTTTCTCTTATTAAGCTTACCTTTGAAGGTTAAAAGGTACCAATCAAGGTTAAATTCATATTTATATTGAATAATTTTTGAAACTGGACCTTCCGAATCTTTTTTTTTGGCAGGTGGAATGTATAAAGGGCTTAGGCTATATATTGAGATGATCAATTTCAATAAAAAATTCATATACAGTATTTATGAATTGAAAAACAAAAAGTAAACAAGATTTACAATTCTTTTCTTTCTCTTCTTGTTATTTTTTTCTGTTTCTTTGACTTCATAAAGAATTTAGAAAATGCAAGTTATTTTTATGATCGTAAATTTTATGAATTTTAGATGAACTTTTTTTATTTCTACAAGACTTTTAATTCTGAATTACACATAAATATATAATTATAAAATAACAAAACATGCGAAGTAAGACAATTATTAAAATGACATAGCTAATACTTATTTTTTGTAATATAGAAATATAAATTCGTATTATTATTATTACAGTATTGCGTATATGATAAAAGAATATAAAGTTCTTAATGTTCAATGCTTCAGATCTTACACATGATCCTCATTATAATGACATCTTTATAAACTGACACTGGATATACCTTTTTTTTTATATATATATATTTTAACAAGAAAACGATTTTGATATCATCTGGATATATTGGACTAAAATGATGAAATAAAACTAGTTATTTCATTACTATTTATGAAATTGGCGAAATTAATTTCATCAGCATCTCTATACGTATCAGATAATTTTTTTATTTTTGGTGAATCTCATATAACAAGAATATTTTGTATTCCTCTTATAAATGTATTGATTCAATCATAGTTCTTTCCCTTACCCTACATGATAGTAATGCCTGTCGTTCGTTATAGGGATAGTGCTAGAGTTAATTATATCAACGTATAAATGATCCTAATGTACAAATCACATGGTATGCTGAAACCCCCACAATTCAGCAATTTACTAATTTGATGATTTTGTCCTACACTTGTTGAGATTAAATTCCCTTGTCAAATGCAGTTGACAAAGATCTTCCTTATTGGCCATGGCAACCTCTTCGACTAAGGTCGTAGAACTTGGCTTTGCCGAGCCACCGGATAGTCCCCTCACAGCAGATAGCTTTCCGAGTAAAATTGGAGGAAAACCAGTAAATTAATTTTTAGTTATTAGATTTTTTCAAAAATCATATGCCGTGAGTTGATTAATTTTTAATGAAAAAATTTTAGGCATGGTTGAATCCAGGTCATGTTCTATCAGCTGAAGATGTTCTTTGCGGCATTTGTAAAAAACCAATGGTCCTTTTAGTTCAAGTAATTATTTATATTTCAATGTTTGCATCGTTTTATATAGTATCGATTTATTTAATTTTTTATTCATCATTCAACATCTTCAACATAGTTATACACTCCTGAAGATTACCCACCCGAAGCCTTTCATCGGTCAATATATGCTTTTTGCTGTAAAAATGGGTCATGTCACAAAACCTCATGGCGTAAAAGGTTTTTTAAAATTAAATAACAATATTACTTTTATCCATTAATCCATTATCCTTTTCACCGTCTCATACTTGCAAATTATATGGTTGACTTGTGTCGAGCTATCGAACTGTATTGGATCATGGCCTATATTTTATACTACAGTTCATTTTAAGCTACTATGATATTGGGATGGTGAAAGGGTACAATGATCGTATAATTATTATTTATTTATCTACTTTATAAAGTTTAAAAGTATTTCGAAGTCAATTGCCAAAATATAATCCTTATTGGCCACCACCAAATGAAGAAACCAATAACTGTAACTCTAATGGTGATGATACAAATGAACATTCTAATCAATCAGTGGAAAAATTTATTTCTGGTTTATATCTCTTTTAAATTGGTTTTGTAATATATTAATGTTTCCATAGAAATCATAACTTAAAAATGTATATATATATATTTTTTTTTAGCCAATTATTGCGTAGTTTGTGGTCTTTATGGTTCAAAAAAATGTGGAAAATGTAATCAAACATATTATTGTTCAAAAGAACATCAAATTGTTCATTGGACGTCCGGACAGCATAAAAATAATTGTAATACAACTACATCTTCATTGGATGATCATGATAGTCTGTGTAGACAATTAGTTTTGTTTCCGGAATTTGAAATTGTAACAGAATCTGAGGGGAATCTGAACAAAGATGATGAAAATGGTGAAATTGATGGCAGTTCATCAAGTGAGTGTATAATTAAATAATTAATTAGATAAATTTCTTTATATTTTATCAAAAAATACTTTAATTACTATACATATATTTTTTTCCTTATAGATTTAGATGATGGAAATTCTAGAGCTCTTGTTCCAGTTGGCGATGAAGTTTATGAAAATACTCAAGTCAATGTAGACAAAGCCTTTCTAAAATTTCAAAAAAAAGTTGAACCATTTCCTGACCAGGTATTAAGGTAATTCAAGCATATATTTATGTTATTTAATCGAATTAAATATTAATTTTATATATAAATTCAGGTATGCACGATTAGATTATGAATGTGAAAAAAATGCAACTCCATTATGGGTAAGTGACATTGGTAAACCGATGCCCGAGGACATACCTTCATGTCCGCATTGCGGTCAAGAACGGACTTTTGAATTCCAGGTGAGTAATACACTAGATTAAAACAGATGTATATATGTGGTTGAGTCAATAGAAATCAAGCAAATATTTTTTAATAAATTTTTTTAAAACTTTAAACAAGAATAACTTAACAAAA